TATATATATATATATATATATATATATATATATATATATATATATATTCCCTCTAGGGATTAATAAAGTATTTTTGAATTGAATTGTTCTTTGGTCGTCCAGATTCCACACAAACGATGACGCTTTCCCAGCACCTCTCCCTCATAATGATCAGCCCACCTCTGTGTTTAACAGCTCTAACTGTTTCCAGTCCAAACCATCATGACCCTGCAGCTCTGCAGGACGTGTTTCATCAGGTCTCTCTCTGTGGGTTTGTCAGTTTAAACATGTTTTAGGCTTAACTTTGTGTTCATGCAGGAAACTTCTCTTTGAACAGGGTCAGCGCTGAGAGGTTCTGTCTTCTGAGCATTTAAAAGGACTTTATTTTGAAATTCATCTTTATTTTCTGTCAATGTTACAAATGAAATAAAACATTTGTTTTAAAGCTCACTTTTGTCACAAACTGGATATAGAGTTTTGTCCTCCGCAGCCTGAACCCTGTCAGACACCTGGAGACCTGCCTGTTCTGCAGCAGGAATAGGTTTAATTTTAAATCTTGTGTTATTTAAAGCAGCCTGACCGCCCTGAGGAGGCGTGACGTCACAATGACTCCCTCACATCCTTCTGATTATACAAACAGGAAGGTTTCACAAGCGATTCTGGGAGTTTTCAAAAGACTGCAGCTCCTCCGAATCTTTACCAAACCAGATGATTGACAGTTTATTGACAGGAGCCACAAAACATTCATTTAAGAAGCGACAGATGAAACACACACCAAGAAGAACACCACAGGTCAGTTTTTACAGTGGTTCTGCTCCTCAGCTGGGTTTATTATCTACAAACATTAAATGGATCTGAATATTTACAGCAGCTGGGTTATTCTCATTGATCCATCATCTTCACTCATCTTGTGATGCAATCTGAAAACTTCCATCATTCGTTTTATTTAAAGTGTTCCCTCCAGCTGCTCTCCAGCTGGGACCTTTCAAAATGTAAATTACAAAGTATCAGAGTACAAGTACAAGTAAAGTACAAGTACCCGAGTGTTCTGTCACAGCTACATTCAGGTCCGGAGAGGCTCATAAGCACTTCAGCAGGAAGAAGTTGCAGAAAGCTCCCCGGGGACAGTCGCACATCTTTCCGATTCGGGCGCCTTTCCTCACCGCGCACTGCTCCCCAACATCACACTGAGGGAGGGGGGACAACAACACATGACTTGTACAGCAAAACACACGTGCTGGGATTCATCCAAATAATTCAACTCTTATTGGTGCATACAGTTGGAACTTGGCCATATTTCTTTTCCCACGCCGGAAGTCGGTTAGCCTGCAGCTTCTCCAGAACTTCTTGGAGAGCTCCAAGCTGCCAGGGAATAAAAGAGCAGAACAAAAACTATGAAACATCTTTTACCCCATGTCCTCATGATGCAGAGAGATTTCAGTCTGCAAACAGCAGCCTGAAGAAGCAGGAGGACAATCTGACATGAGATTATTTTTAAACGCATCTGTGCGCAGATTATTATTATTATTATTATTATTTATTGTACTCTATTAATCCCCTATGGGGAAATTAATTCTCTGCATTTTTCCAGTTGCACATGTGAGCACACGCATTTCTAAAAGAAATCAAAGCATTTATAAGTTTGTTTTGCCTAAATCTGAACTTCAGGAGCCATTTCTGTGTCTCTTGAATCCACGGATCCAAAACGCTCCAAACATTCAGAGTGGGTCGGGGCGGACTCACCAGCTGCTTCTCGTTGGTCAGGTTGGGTCCTTTGGGGTAGAAGTCCCGCAGGGCTCTGGGGCTCAGCTGCTCCTCGGACTGCGCGTCCAGCAGACGCGCCCCCGCGGCGCAGGCGGACAGCAGCAGCAGCAGCAGCGCGCGCAGCAGCCTGGAGCTGCGCATGGTGGTCCCGGTGCTCAGCAGCATGTGGCCTGGCTCCCCCGGTCAAAAGTGGCCCTTCCCTCCGCGCCACACAGCTTTTATGGGGGAAGTCCCATCAGTCTCCACCTTATCCTTTCCCCCCCCCCCCCCCCCACCCCTCTGTTTGTGTCATGCGTAACAGCCGCTTGGCTGAGTCATCCCGCAAAAAAAAAAAAAACGCAACAAGAAGTCAACAAGCAGAGAAGTGGACCCCGACAGTTTTAAACTCACATCGTTTGGGCCGACCAGTTAATGGAGGTGAGACTTTGTGTCTGTTACCACACCTGCACTGAGCTCAACATCTGTCCATCTGACCGAGTGGAAACCATTTGTGTGCAGGCTGTTAACTAGTTTCACTGGAATCTGCCTAGAGATGGCACGGTGGTGCAGTGAGCTGCTGCCTCTCAGCAAGAAGGCTAGAATCCCAGCCGGGAGGTCTTTCTGGAAGGAGTTTGCATGTTCTGTCTGTGCATGCGTGAGTTTTCTCCAGGTACTCCAGTTTCCTCCCACAGATCAAAAACATGCATGTTAGGTTGATTGGTAACTCTAAATTGTCCCTAGGTGTGAGTGAGAGAGTGAATGGTTGTTTGTCTCATTTGTCTCTGTGTCCCTGTGATGGACTGAGACCTGTCCAGGGTGTGACTGCTGGATATGGACACCAGTGACCCCAGTGATCCAAAAAGGAAGAAGCGAGTAAAGATGATGAATGTATGGATGGAATTTGCTTATGGGTCATGAGATATTTTGCTAACAGACAGTGTTAAACATAACACTAACAACAAAACCCCTTAACACCAAATGTTTAAAGATGTTGCACAATGAGTGGAGTCACCGCATCACAAACTCTACAACACCAAAGTTTAGATCAATATCTGACTGAGAGTCAGTTTTAGTTGAGGTCATTTATGGTGGCCATATTGGATTGGGGTAACTCCAAACTTTACACAGTCTAGATGTAGAACAAGTGATGACTTCCAGAGAGTTTCATTAAAAGCTGCCCAGTGGTTTATGAGATATTTTGCTAACAGGTTTCACTGCAAGACATAGACAACGTTTTCAAACAGATCTTATCACAGTGGAACGGTTTTAAGAGACAAACTGACAGAGAGGAATCAGCACACAGGTCAAAGTGAAGTTTATTGTGAAGATGGGCTCAGGGTGGATCTGCAGGGACATGAGCACAAGGGGAAGTATCTGGTAGAAGGAAGAAGGATTTTAATTTAAGATTAGCTGTTTTTTTCTTTCAGATTTTGAACTGGTGACACGGAGAGGAGGGTGGAGATTTCCAGGCGAGAAGGACCGAAGGTGCGTAGGGTTTAGTTGGAGAGTGACAGGATGGAAACTATAGATAAACTGACCCAGTGCTGATTGTTGAACACGGAGGTTCCAGAAATGCAGAGGCAGGTGGTTCCAGGTGATCTAATGGTGGCAACACAAAGTAACTTGAAGAATCAGGAGGATCCACTGGAGGACACTAACAAGCCAGGGCTAGATGACCAAAGGTTGCTAGATATGATCTGTGTACAGGGCTGTCACACAGTTACCAAAAGGTCTCAATGTTCCAGCGTCGAACTACTGAACCGCAGGAGCTTAAAAGCTGTAGTTCTCAGCAGCACTGGATCAGGAATGGGGAGAAGGGTTGTCTTTGCCCTGTCACTCAGGAGCTGCAAGACCAAAGTTAGCAGAAAAACCACGTATAATCTTCACACATGTAATCAGTGTGTGCTCAGAGTACGCAGGGGTGATCTTCAGCTAGTACCACCCCACATTTTAGCTCAATATCTGTAAAACGGACTCTTAGACATTTTTTTGAAAACCAAGGTTGTTTAGCTGTGGTGGCCATCTTTAATGTGGCTGACTCCCAAAGTTAATCAGTTGTAGGCACACATCTGATTACTTCCTGAGAGTTTCAATAATGTCTGCCCAGTGGTTCGTGAGATATTTTGCTAACTGGTAACTCTAAATTGTCTCTATAGTGTGAGTGAGAGAGTGAATGGTTGTTTGTCTCATTTGTCTCTGTGTGTCCCTGTGATGGACTGGAGACCTGTCCAGGGTGTACCCCACTTCTCGCACAGTGAATGCTGGACATGGACACCAGTAACACCAGCGACCCAAAAAGGAAGAAGCAGATAAAGATAATGGATGGATGGATGGATGGATGGATGGATGGAAGGAAGGCACAGACAGCAGAACCGTAATCATCCTTTTTCTTTTGGTGGTGTGTGAAATTAAAACTTAGGGATGACGTTAATTTAGGATCACTCATGTGATTAAGTCAACCAGAACACTCTTAATTTGCCCTGCACCTGAGGAATCTCCTCAGAATCAAATGTCTACACGCAGGAAAAAGAAGAACTTACAGAGCGTGAGTTGGAGACGTTTTTAAATGAGGTTGCGGCTTGTGAAAACTCTGTTTGGAACGCTCTCCTCTGGTTTTGGCTCCAAGCACAAGAGGAGTGAGTGGAACGACGAGTGAAGCTGTAAATGCTGTGGGGTCAGAGCAGCGCTCACCTGCACAAATGATTAAAAACAGTCGGACATATGAGGATGATTAAATGACTTTAGTCACCAAGAAGCCCCCCATCCTGCACCGTGCCAGCCTGTAGTCTGTTCCAACCATGCTGTTCATCAGAATGAGTGAATCGTGTTGAACCAGGCCACCTCTCCACCATGTTGGTTAGTTGCTTTTGTGCTTCACATATAATTTACACATTGATTGAATGAAAATGCTTCAAGGATTCCAGGTTCAAGAATTGAAGTTTTTTTTATTTGTCATACCACCACATGTGAGGTGGAATGAGATTATGTACACAGGGTCCCAGTTACATCCAACAAAAGTGTAAAATGTACAAGAAAAACAGTAATAAGATCTAAAATATGAACTAGGACAAACATCAACTAAAAATACACTAAGCACTAATAGCATAAAAACAGGAAAAACAATACGTCGAACAGCAGCACGAACATGAGTGTGTGAGCAGATGAGCATGCATGAACACATCAACATGAAACAGATCAGCAGCAATATGAAACAGATCAGCAGCAACATGAAACAGATCAGAAGCAACATAATGTGATTTTTCACAGTGATTATTCTGGTTAGAGATTCATGAGTCTAACAGCCTCAGGGTAGAAGCTGTTCCTCAGTCTAGTGGTTCTGCACTTAATGCTCCTTAACTTCCTTCCTGAGGGGAGCAGGGCAAAAAGTGTGTGCTGGGTGAGTGGGGTCCTTCATGATGCAGGTGGCTCTCTTCCTGCATCTGGAGGTGTAGATGTCTGTGATGGTGGGGAGACTGACTCCAACATCTTCTGTGCAGCCTTCACCACTCTCTGCAAAGCTTTTCTTTCTGCAGCTGTGCAGCCTCCATGCCACACGTTGATGCTGGAGCACAGGATGCTCTCCACTGCACACCTGTAGAAGGAGGTGAGGACTGAGCTTCCCAGACCAGCTCGTCTCAGCTGCTTGAGGAAGTATTCTCTGATGAACTTTCTTGATCAGGCTGGTGGTGTTGTTGCTCCAGCAGCTGAGGTTGTCATTCAGGTGCACACCCAAGTACTTGTAGCTGGAGACCACTTCCACTGCAGATCCTCCTAGTTTGGGGGGGGGGGGGGGGCGTACGTGTGTTTGTTCTGTCTGAAGTCCACTATCATCTCCTTCATCTTTTTCACATTGATGTGAAGGTTGTTCTCTTTGCACCAACTCTCCAGGTGTTCCACCTCCTGCCTGTAGCTGGACTCATCATTGTTTGTGATGCATCCCACCACCGCTGTATCATCTGCAAACTTTACAAGGTGACAGCCTGGATGGGTAGCTGCACAATCATACATGAGCAGAGTAAACAGGAGAGGGCTCAGCACACAGCCCTGAGGGGAGTCAGTGATGAGGGTTATGGTGGAGGAGAAGTTGTGGATCCTCACTGACTGTGGTCTGTTTGTTAAGAAGTCTAGGACCCAGTTGCAAATGGAGGGGTTTAGTCCTAGTGTGAATAGTTTGTCCATCAGGGTTTGGGGGATCATGGTGTTGAAGGCAGATGTGAAGTCCACAAAGAGTATATGGACGTAGGAGTCCTTCTGCTCCAGGTGGGTGAGAGCAGTGTGGACCACAGAGGAGATGGCGTCCTCTGTTGATCGATTCTCATGCTATGCGTACTGGTAAGGGTCCTCGTTGATGTTGATGGCTGTTTTGATGTGGGTCATGACCGTAGCATTTAGTGATTATCGCTAAATCACTGAATTAACTTCCTGTTAACATAAACGTATTCATCCTGTGATGGTGCTTTTATAGCAACGGTCCATAGTTCCGATTACATTAGGAAAACTGGCTGTTGCTGCAAACTATGCCTTAATGTTGGCCTGTTCAGCTGCATTGTGGGTAATTTGATATTCCTTGTTGATATACGGATAATTACATCCCACACAGCTGGCATGGCTCAGCTCAGGGTGGACTGTCTGGCTCAGTCCTGATCAGTCTTCCAGCTCCCTCTGGAATGACCCTGTTGTTAGAAACCCCAGCGTGGTTGCAGCAAGTGAAGGTTCATTCTCATACTTCACAGTTTCTTCCTGTTATGTCAGGTGTACCCCAAGGGTCCATTCTTGGTCCAACTCTTTACTTTATTTTTAAATGATATTGTGCATTCTGTTATATTCATTAATATGCAGATGACACTATTTTATATGCTTTTGGTTCTACTCTGGATGAGGTTGTGAAGTCTCTTGCATGTGATTTTCTTGTATTCCAGCAGGCCTTTACTGACTCACATTTGTCCTTAAATGCCAAGAACACTAAAATCATGTGGTTCGGTCATGGAGGAGGAACCATACCCATTTCGGTGGACTTCACCACTAGAAATGGTGGTATTATAGAAAAGATAACAGTTTATAAATATTTGGGAATTTGGATTGATGGTGCTCTGTCCTTTTCACATCATGTTAATGTTTTGCAATCTCAGGTTAAAGTGAGATTTGCTTATCTATATAGAAATCGATCTTTGTTTACACTGGCTGCAAAACGCACCATTGTTGAAAAATTTTTTTTTTTA